AGTGCAGTGCCCAGAACTGGACACAGTACTCCAACTGCGGCATGACCAGTGCTGCATAGAGGGTATGTGCACCCCCTGAGCATGGCAGTGTACCCCCTGCAAAAAGCTGCCGTTGACAGTGTCTGCAGGTGGTCACCACTTGCCACCCCACTGCCAACACGACTGGCAGCATCTGTGGGCAGTCCATAATCACCCCTGGCCACTGTCATCACTGCCAATATCGTCACTCCCCCTGCCGGTGACAGTGCTGGTGGTGTCTGTGGAAGCTCCGTGCTTACTGTTGCTGTGCTTCCATCGCCGCCCCTGCCAGTGCAGCCATGCCCACCCCAAGCCACCAGGGGACGTGCCGTTCATGGTGCTTCCTTTTGGAAATACTAAAAAACTGCACAGTAACAGTCTGTACTGTACCATGCATGCTGTGAATAGTTATTTTTAGGCACTGTGTTGCCATAGCAATGCACTATAACAAGGGAGTGCATCACTATGGCAATATAGTTGTGGCATCACCGTTTTTGCCTGCAGAGGTTACGTCGCTGTAGCACATTGCTATGGTGACGTAGTGTCATGTGTAGATGCTACCAGTGACTCCAATTCACTACTTTGATGCTCCTCTTTCTTTTTCAAACTTGTGCACCTGATACTGGCATATGATTAGTAATAGATTAATGTATTGTGTTATCCTTTACCAGCCAGCCTAATTTTTAATTTTTGTAATCTGATAATGTTTGCAGTTCTTAGATAATTTAAATGAATGTTGTGTTCTTACCAAGGAAGAGAAATCAAACGTTTTATAAAAGAGTATGATTTACATTTAAGTTCCTTTCATCCTGCATACTTGTTTAAAATGTACTGGGTTCTCCTCCCACTTTTTAGCAAGAAATACTCTCAGATTTTAAAATTAATTTAGGCAACAGTTCAACATCAAAAATAACTAAGCTTGAGAGGAATGTTCGTAAAGGTGAATGTAACGTTTATCCAAATATTATCTAGTTCCCTTGCTTCATCATTAATCTTTACATTGTTTTATAGGTTTGGAAATGCACCATTATATGCTGTTTTAAATGGTATGAAAAGACTGGTCAATACAGACTTACAGATCCAAGAGGTAGTTATGTATATTTGTAAATACATGTGTTTAAGAATTATCGTGAAATGTATTGCATAAGCATGTGGGAACTAATACTTTTAAAAAGCTACTTTTGCATATACAAGAAATCCACTTACAAACATGCATCCTAAATTGCACACCCTAAGTTAGAGAAATGCTTGTACAATTAGTTAGGCATCCTTGGATGGAAATGAAGTTTTGTGGAATTTAGATGAGTCATTTTTGGCAAGTAGATGAGCATTTCTGCAGCCATTGTTGTGCAACTTCTTTTTGTATAGATTTTCCCCTTGCTTTAAAAAAAAGAAAATTCAGAATGACCATTTATTTGTATCTCTCTGACTCTCCCCAGCACTACATTGGTTCCCTGGCTCCCTCTGCAATCTGTCTTCTTCTTTCCTGATATCATCTTGGCATCTCTTTGCCCAACATATCACAGTTCTCCTTGGTACCCTGAGTTCTCCTGTGATCTCAGTGTTGCCTCTCAACAAATGTGTTCCATTCTTAATGTCTGTTTTACTGCTCCATCGTAGTCCCAGTTTTACTGCCCCATCTTAGTCCCAGTCTCTGATTCCCCTGTCTCCTGGACACATTCTCCTTGCCCAGTTCAGTCCCAGTCACACTCCCACTCCCATTTAATTTCTTTCCATTTAATCAGTTGCTCACTAGATTTTGTGTCCCAGTTTACTCCTTCCCTTCCCATCCTTCTACCTTGTGTCCTTCTCCACACAGCCTGGTCAGGTCAACACAGTGCAATAGTGTCCTGCAGCAACTTTTGAGCTAGCTAGAAGTGAGTCCACACCTGAATGAGTCATGTGTCATAGAGAAGTCACAAATCTTAGAGAAGTAGGGCTAGAAGGGACCTCCATAGGTTGTCTAGTCCAACCCTCTGCCTCAGGTAGGATTATTCCTATCCAAACCATTGTATACAAATCCAATGTCTAACTTCCTAGCAAAAGTACATAGTCAACCTTGACAGAACACAAGACATAACACCCTAACTTGCCACAGATAAAGGAGGGGGACCATGACGGTCAATGTTCTGCTGCTGTAAAGGTTGTTAATATACACTCAGGAGATCCCAGGACGAGACCACCATGTCCCTGCCCTCCTCCCTCCCCCCCGCTGCGCTACAGAGGAAGGCAAAATTCCGCACATTCCATGTCAGTCTGACCATGGGGTAAAATGTCTTCCTGATCCCAAATATGGTGGTTGTTCTGACCCTAAGAAACCTCAGGATTTTAAGACCCAGCAGGAGCATTGACCCACCCCAGTCAAAATCCCCAGCCTTGGTTGCAGCCAACACCCAATGCTTCTGAGGAAGGCTTAAAAACTCTAACACTTGTAGCAGAAAATGGGGGGTGGAGGCAACCAGCAAAGCCCAGAAGCATGGGGAATGCCCATAGTACAACATAGGCATAACTTTGCCTAGTTCAGCGCATCCCAACCTTTTTTGCCCCATGGCACACTTACCTAAATAAGCACCATGGCACACCAGACATGGAAGGGTGGGGGGTGGTGTGCGGCCAGCCAAACACTGACAGAGGAGTGGGTGGGGTAGCGTGGGGCCAGCCAGAAGCTGATAGAAAGGTATGGCACATGGCCAGTCAGATTGTATTTTGGGCTGGAGCCATGCCCCCTGCCTGGCTGGAGCCATGCTCCCTGTCTGTCTGTGTCCACAGTAGCAGCAGGTG